CATTCTCATAACTTCTTTTGTGAATTGTCTACTCGACTCTTGCTTATAAGGCAGCTATTAGTCATTTTATTTTTAACATGTAAGAGTTCTGTGTATATGCTGTCAGATATATGTGTAACTATTCTTTTCTACAATTTAACAAGAGTATAGCAAAAGGATACTAAGTATAGAAGATATTGATACATTTAATATTTAATATAGCTGACAATTAGGGAAGGAAGCTAAAAATAATTATTTTATTTTTAAGAAAGCATTTATTATAGTCTTAAACAGGACAAGGGGAAGACAAAGAAAAGGGTATATTATCCAGATGGCAGAGACCATTGGCATGGGGTCATACTAGTGTCCAAAGGTTTGTTTATATACAGAACTTTAGAAAGTACATGGGAGGTCAAGGAAAACTCCCACGTGTATGGTGTGGCAAGTCAAAGCAGCATAGTCACAGCTGGGGTCACCATAGAATGGGGCCAGGATGAGGATATTGTGGTAGACAGAGGAGCCTGCCCCAGGCAATTAGGACAGGATTCATATCTATGGGACAGCCCCTCCTCCCTTAGTGACCTCTATGAAGGACACTGCCTGAAGGTAAGCCCCAAGGGAGCAAAAGTTAAAGTAATTAGTGTTTGAAACACAAATTTTAACCTTTAAATTAACACAAAACGAAATTCTGTTATTTCATTTTTGTTTCAGGTGCAGTTAAAAACCAATATATCTAGTCAATATGTAATTCGAATGCAACCAACTAATAATTGCCTGTCTACATTGGAGTGTGCAGCTGTTGCTCTTTCCATCTTAGAGAAAAATAACTACATACAAGAGGTATGTCTTTGGTTATCGTTTTTGAAAGTAGAAGTTTAGATTTTTATCTAGAAAATTTAGAAATGCTTAACTTGTTAAATTTGTAAATGACAAGTAGAATGTATCTTGATAGAAATTTATGTACTTTTATAACCTTCTTTCCCACTCTGGTGTTTTCTGTATTTTAGCATTTTCTGTAGTTTAGCACTCCAGATTGTAGTATTTAAATATTCATACTAAGCTGTGCAAACAGTATTTGTAATATGCTAAATTGTCTTTAAGTAGCACAACATTAAGTGGAGTTTTTGGATAGGTTTTTCTTTTCTTATTTTGCTATTTCTCTTTTTAGTGTTTTGTATCCAACTTCTCTTTCAAAAAATTAATATCTACTACAACGTATCTACATACACATACCTATCCATACACAAAATGAAAATATGCAAACATACCCCCAGTGCTTTTATTTAAGAAAGTATACCACATTTCTGCTTATCTTATACACCTTGCTTACCAAAACCAACAATAACCCCATTGCAATTGAGCCAATTCTGACTCATAGTGTCAGCAGAGAACAGAGTAGAGCTGTTTTTCTGGGTTTCTGAGACTAAATCTTTAAAAGAGCAGGCAGGCTCACCCTTCTCTCCAGGATAGATTGGTGGGTTCGAATCACTGACTTTGCAGTTAGTAGTTGCATGGGTAACTAAATACACCACCAAGGCTCTTTTATCCTTTGTCAGTTATTAATGCATTTTTTCATTGCTACAATCAATTTTAGAATATTTTCTTCTTTTACTTGTTATTGTTAGCTTTCCATTCCCCCGAGCCTCTCCTGTCATAACCCCAAGAAATTATTAATACAGTTACTGTCTCTATAAATTTCCTTATCCCGGATTTCATATAAAGAAAAACATACAAAAAGAAAAAGAAAAACCCCAACAATAATCATAAAGTAAAACAGAGAAAAACCTCAATCGAAAAGAAGGCAGAAAATAATTAAAATGAGAATAATAAAAAATGAATAGAAAAGGAGAACAAAGGATAAGTGGTTAAATTTTAACCTAAGTAAATCTGTATTAATCTACTTTCTTTTGAGTGGGGTAGGGGGGGAGAGAGCATAAGAAAAAAAAATCTATTTTCTTTCGCACTTGGTCTGATGTCAGGGCTATTCACATCCTGGTCAATGTTCAGAGGGAATTCACAAGAGGCTTAATCTAAGTGGGAATCCTGCAAATGGATTTCACTATCATCCATGGCTTTCTGCACATTGGGTTCTCAGAAATTAAGCTCTAACTCTGTTTCTTCCTCCAGTCTTGGATTTTATTGTTTACAATCCTTGGACCACACAGGCTAGTGTGCTGCTTCCATGTGGACTTAGCTGATACCTCTGTAGACAGATGGTTGCTTGTTTTCGGATAAAAGGGACATTTTTTATTAATTTGTTCTAGACTTTAACTGTTGTTTATTTTACTAATGGCTTCATGAGATAGTTTCATTTTGAGGTTTAAAGATTATTTCTGGGAATTATATTCAGGGGTTCTCCCCAGTCAGTGAATTCAGTAAGCCTGGCTTTATGTCAGTTTGAAGTTCCATACTTTTCTTTCTTTCTTTCATCAGGGGCCATCTGTTGGATCTTTGATCATAGTGTTCAGTACTGGTGGCTGGGCACCATCCACTTCTTCTGGTGTCATGGTAATAGAGGGAGTAGTTTGGGAAGCAATTAAACTTTCAGTTCATTTCTTTCTCTGATTTATGAGTTATCATATTTCTCTGCCGATCTAGGTAAACAAACCAAAACCAACCAAAATCACTGCTATCCAGTTGATGCTAATAGTGACCCAATAGAACAGGCAAGAACTGCCTGCCCCTGAGGGTTTCTGAGTTGTAACTCTTTACACGAGTAGAAAACCCCATGTTTCTCCTGTGGTACAGGTGGTGGTTTTGAACTACTGATTTAGTGACTCTTGGCCCTACTGGTAACCACAATGCAACCAGGTCTCTTATCTGGATGAATAGAGACTAATTACTGTATTGGGGGTGGCTTCTTACAACTTTTAAGAACCCAGGATCAATAATCTCTAACTCACCGCCATTGAACCAACTCTGACTCAGAGGGAACCTATAGGACAGGGGGGAACTGCCCCTGTAGGTTTCAGGGACTAACAGTCCAGAAGAGCAGGTTGATGCTTTCCAACTGCTGACTTTGCAATTCGCAGCCCATTGCATAACCCAGGCACTACTCATCTAACTAGGGGAAACTAGAACAGAAACTAAAAGCAGCATTTGACCAGTTAATTGGATAAACCCTCAAAATCATGATTTTAAACTTCCAAACTAAGAAAACTAATCTTGTGAAATGTTTAGTAGTACATAAATATTATCAACAGGCTCAGTTAAAAACAAAGCAAAACTGTTGTTACATTTGTAAAATTATAGAAAACAAGTCATTTGCCATTTCCACCTTTTTATTTCCCCTTGGTATACATCTTAATGGCAATAGCTATTAGCTGTGTCCACCATTTCCTGTCCTGTTCCCAATGTTGTTGGGTTGTTCCCATTCAGTGACCTTTAGGCCAAAGAACTGACCTCTAGGCTTTCTCATCTTGACAGAAGCACTCTCATGTCTTTCTCCCACTGAGCCAGCAGAGCTCCTCATGGCCCTTTCTCATCACCATAGAAAAATATTCACTATTTCTCAGACAGGAAATATGTATATATATTAATACATAATTACCTATGGTTAATTCATATATGTGAGGCCATACAATATTCATTCTTTTGTGATTGACTTTCTTTGTGTAGCATAATATCTTTGAGGTTCATTTTTATTGTAATGTGTGTCACAATTTAAAGTTTTCTTTAAGATTGAATAGTATTCCATTATGCCGATGTACCACATTTTGCTTATTCATTCATCTGTTGGGTTCTTCTTCTCCCTCTAACCTTTTCCTAGAACATGTTATTTTTATTATAATTAATACTATCATGATAGGAAACTAAGTGTTCACAAATTACCCGTTTGTCTTGACAAAACTGTAGCCAGGCTCCTATCCTTTCCACCTCAACTGCAGCTTGTCTGTGAGCCAGCGTACTCCATACCAACTTGTTCCTAGCACAGGCAGACCACACCAGGACATGTTTCCTGTCAGATCACCATCATGATCCCGCTTGCTTGCTCAACTTCCATGAAAACTTTCTGATAAGCTTTGCTACCTCTTCCTAAGAAGAAATTTTTTTTCTGTTTCATTTTAAGATGCTCGCAGCTTTCGGAGATTGTAGCATTCATCCTGTTGCAATAGTATTTTTGAATAAAGATTTTCTTATCTAAGTCTGGCTCTGTTTTTATTTGACAAAATGTATGAGGGTTCTATGTATTAAATATTATAGATGGTACAAGTAACTAAGGTAACTTCTTTCAAAGTTGGCTGAAATGGAACTTTTTCAGGAATTAGAAGTTTATAGGCTAACGTTCTTAATATTGTTTTAGGGTTTATCTCCAACAGCATGTCTTTATTCTCACTTTTTATCTGATTTTTCAGATACAGCTAAAAGCATTCCTTGATAACACAAACTCAAAACTGACGTTGACTAGTCCTATATTGTATGTGTTTTGTGATATGATACATTAAAGAAACAAAAACAAACCAAAAAGTCCTCCTTATTGTGAGTGCCTTGAGACTAGCAAAACATTTTATATTCTGAGTACAATATCTAACATGCAAATTAAAAAATATAGAATGGTAACAGGACCTATTACCTGTTCAGCTTTTGTCACTATTATCAGCAATTCACATTGAAGATAAAATCCGCAATTAATTATTAGGTCCTAGTGCTCTTATTGCTCTTGCTTTGGTTGCCAGTAGTAGTCGTAACTAGTAGACAGAAGTATAAAAATGATAGGATTTGGGAGGTGCTAATAAGATGGTGGTGGGAGCTTGAATAGAAGAAGTACATAATGAAACATCCCAAATGCTCATGATTACAGATGGCAAAAATTGGCCATTGGCCAATTCATACTAAAGGCTGTTTTCTCCATGTGAGAAACCTAATTCCAGTCTGCTCCAGTCTAGCTGTAAAATTTTTTAAAATTTCAATTATCACATCTTCTGTGTAACACCAGTGTTTTACTGTTCTGAGTATACATGTTTTCTCCTTTTCCTAGGAAGGAGCACTGTGATGTACATTTTGCCCCAGTAGCCTCTTATTGTGAGCATTCTAGTAAAATGTGAAGATAATAGAGGAGAGAGAGATAATTTTCAAGCTGGCTTCATTCTATAGAGTTCAGGGCCCTCAAAATGAAGAGGTTGGTGCAGAATGGCTGTATTAGTCGGTAGCTTCCACCTTATCCTGGGAATGGCATAAGATAGAACCATAGCTCTCTGAAAGTAGGGTGATAAGGGGCTTTGAAGGAAGTTTGAATTACGCTTCATCACCTCTCCCTCATCACTTTTTGCAAGAGGGAAATTCATATAATCTCTGTGCTTATTTTCTTATCTATATAATACCAAAAAATACCTACCTCATAGGATTGTTGTGAAATTGAATGAGATGATTTTTTTTAACTACCTGAGACACAAGCACTCAAGAGTTAATCCTTTTGCCCTTTCTTGTTCCTATGGTCTTTGTCTATAGGCTGAAATACTAATAGAACCTTTAATTGTACTAATCTATATATGCAGTCCAAAATGTTGCCTAAGAATGATGTTTCAAATATAATCTAGAATCCCTGTGCTGACTCTTTGTGGTAGTTACATAATCTGTTGTCAATTTGAGAATGAAAGGGTGGAGTTTAGCTTGTCAATCAAGTTGCAGCTTGATGAGCTCATTTGGAGGTGCTAAGGAGATAAATAGCTCGCTGAAGGCAGGACACATGCTCACGCCCTGGGAGACATTCTTGCTGACAAGACACATGGAGCTACGCTAGAGCCCTGGAACTAGAGGAGCCACTTGGAGACCCCTGCCAGCACTGAGATGTTTTCACTGCCCCTGGATCCACAAAACTTTCTTTTTTTTTTTTTTTGGCT